GGCATTCCAGCCCCAGGTCACGTAGCCCCTCGGTGGGGGGTGGCTTTGCAGTAGCGAAGGGGACACACTTGACTTTAGCTGGGAGAAGCAGCGAGTCCCAACTGCGATGTGTCTTTGCTCCAGGGGGTTTTGGCCTCTGTTGTGCCCCAAGAGGGGGCAGGCCGCTAGACCCAAGTTCTGTGTAAAGGGGGTCAAACAAGGGGAGCCTGGCCCAGCTCTCCTCCATCCTGGAGAAGCAGAGGTACGGCCAATGTCCACCCGCTCCCCACGAGACTATGGGCTGAGTCTGGGATGATTGGGTGGGAGCCCAGCTCTCTCCCCCCCAGCAGCTCTGGCTACAGCTGGGCTACATTTGGGTTTCCAGAACAGCGAGCGCCGGTGGCGGCAGCCCAGCCTTGGAACTTCAGGGGCTGGACACCTGCCAGGACGAAGCCGTGACAATGCACACCACAGCAGGGAAATGGCAAGTTTCTTCTTTACAGCCCAAGGACCCATCTCCGGCCACTACTCCTCTGCTGGGAATAGCCAAAGATCTGCTGCCACCGAGGGAAGTGTGCCGGTTCTCAGGAAGTCACTCCTTAGGCAGGTTGATGAGAGGGGCTTCTGTCAGCCTAGCTCTGCATTGCTCCCCTTCCCACTACTCTTGGTTTATTTGCCTATTTCTCTCTCTTTCAACCATCAGTTCCTAGAGGCAGGGGACAGTGGTTTCTCCCTTACACTGGGAAGAACCCAGTTCACTGTGGGTACTATTGGAAACAATAATGTTAGCCAAGTGGACAAATTTTTCTCACTCAGAACCAGATATAGATTTGAAAGCAGGGCTCCTCAGGCCAGAAGGATGAGCAGCCCTGTCCCCTGCTAGAGGACTGCACAGGTCCCCTACAAGGCCCAGGCTCCCAGCTCCTGGCCCCTATGCGGGGAACTCACACTGACAGAGCTCAGGATGGACCGAGGACGCAAGGAACTGCCACCTTGGAGGACTCAAGACAATACTCAGGATGGTTTCTTTATTTCAATGAATGGGGGGGGGCCACTGGGCAGAATCAAGAAAGACCGGAGGCCTCTGGAGGGACCAGTTCACCGCGGTGCTACCAAGAGGTACAGGAGACACTCCAGCAGATTCCTCAGGCAGAATAACGGGCTTCTTAGTGGGCAGAGGTCTGAATCCCCACGGTCAAAATCAGCCAGAGCATGGCCTCATTGCCCAGCCTCCCCCTCACCCCCCACGCTCAGCCTCCCCCACCTGCTAGACACAATTCAATGGCCAAGCTCCCAATGCGTAGGCTCCCTGCCACTCCCACGCCCCATTCCTGCAGTCAGCTTTGCCGCGCTCTGATGCAGTTTCTATGACCAAGCTCCCCAGCTCCCACAGCTGGTAATACACAAGCCTCCTCGAGACCAGCTGTGACAGCTCATGCTGCAAACATTGGAGCGATAAACAAGCCTGGAACACACTGGGCACCAGCTAGCTGAGTGCACCTGTCCAGCAAATGCAGGCCTGTCCAAAGCAGCTTCTGGCCGATACACAGGCTTCTTGCAATCGCCCCTGGGAACCAGCCCTTGCCACCTGCTTTCCCCTGTGAGCACGCAGACAAGCAGACCCTACCTCTGCCCCCTACCAGACACACACACACGCACCCACTGGAGCCTGTGCCAACCGGGCAAAGACTTGAGCATGCACTGCTCTCTGACCTGCCTCGTGCAGTAACCCTGGCAAAAGCTGCTAGCTCAAAGGAGCTTTTCATTAACACAGATCCAAACACCCAGGGCAATTGTTGCTAATGAGCTGCCTCCCCCGCTAACCTGCAGGGGATCTGAGCTTCCTGGGCCCCGTTACCTGATTAACTAACGAGAGGCACATGCTGTTGAACACCACACCTGTCTGATCAGCGCCAAATTGGAGGGATCCACCAGCCACACCACGGCACCACTCAGGTTTCCAGAGCCCCAACTTCTCCCCTCCACCTCATGCCACACAACCACGCTACTTCACGCAGGCAAGAGGTGCCCCTTTCTCAGCCTTCTGTCTGGGCGGCCTCGGGAGGGAGAAGTGACTTACTCGCATTTCCCAGCCAGTTTAGACTGAAGTCTTCGCAAGTGGACTGCAAGGACTTCAATCTAAACTGAGTGGTGGCCAGAGAAGGGACACAGGGACTCTGACGGTGAGAAGGGCCCAAGTCCACAAACAAACAGTCTTCCCACAATTACAGAATTCTGTATCCATCTGACCCACTTTGGCCACCCAGGCAGGGGAATTAATCCCATCTGCATGCGGGGGGGTCAGGGCCACTGAGGCACATTCACTGGGGGGGGCTGCTCTGGCTGGAGCCAACAGCAAATCTACAGCAGGCTCTGTTCTGAGGAAAGACACACTGCTACCGTGGCTTCCCCCAACCTCTGGCTTGTAAGGGCACAAGCACCCCATTCTGGCAGCGAGCCCTTCTACCGGCCCTCAGCCCCCTGGCTGGGGCAGCGGCAGAGTGGGCACCAGTCCCACACAAGTATGCACGTGCCCTAAGCAAAGCCTGGGTCTCCGGAGATGATTCTTACATCAGATCATCTCCTCATTAATAAACACCAGGGGCTGAAGCACAGGGGGGCTATGTGATGTTCAGTCATTGATTAATCACAGCCTATCTGCAGAGCCATGGAGAAAACACACCGGCAGCCGGGGCTCCATTTTCTGCAGCAGCCTGGCAGCTCGCTCCTGCCCAGGGGAAGCTGAGTGGGCAGGCGGGGGCAGCTCTTTAGAGGAAAGATCTGATCGCACTTTTATAAGGTACTTTTATCCTGTCTAATCAGACGCTGCCAACACAGCGGAACAAGGAGCCGAGGATGAAGCTAAAGAGCCTCCTTCAGAAGGAGACAAAACACAAACAGGCAGCAATTCTGACAGGCACAAAATGAAGGCAGCAAGAATGAGCAAGACACCCGAACATTCCCTGCGCGTCCCGTGCACCGGCCCCAGTGGCGACAGTGGAACTAGTGAGTCCCAACCCGCTGAGCACAGAGCCGGCCAGGAAAGGACCTGACAAGCATCCCCACAGAGAGGCCAAAGCGCGCCACCCACATCCATCCTCAGGACTCAGAGCCAAGCGGCAGCCAGCCCACGGCAGAAACCACCAGTGGGTCCGATCCCCTCTCACCCATGCCATGGCAGATCAATCAGTTGAGGATTAACAGGGGATTAACCAGTGTTGCCTCCAGAATCAGTCCCAACGTCTCTGGAGAGCGAAGCCAAGTCAGTGCAAAGGCCAAAGGAACCCAGCATCCCACTCCCTCGGCCCTGGTCGGAAACAAGTCATGCTCCATGACTCCTCCCTGGGGACCAGCTGTCACCCGTTGTGATGCGGGAGCCACACTGCACCCGGGGCCCATCCTTCCTGAGGAGCCCCAACACAACAGGGTCCAGTCCCCAGACCCAGAGGGGCTCCCCACACGCTCCCAGTCCCATTTGAGCTCCTCCTCGGCAGAGACTGGACCCTGTTCCCAAGGCACCCCATTCCCAATCCGGGAGTCCCTTCCCTGACCCCCACCATCTCTGCTTTCAGCTCAGCCCCAGCGAGGCCAGCGCAGTCGGGGAGGCCCTGTCTATGGCCCAGTCTCTCCAATTCCAGTGCCAGCACATTTGTTTCCAACTCAAACCCTTAGAGACCTGGTTCTCGGACCGGGGTTTGGGCTTGTCCCCCAGGGCCAGCACCGTCCCTCCTCATCTACTTCAGTCTCCTCCTTGGGCCTTGTGGGAGAGGAAGATCTCAGACCTGACTGGCCTCTCCCTACCTCAAGTGCCAGTTCGCCCAGCGCTCCCTCAGGCGAGAGATTTGCCCCAGCTCTGCGCCCACCGGCCTGGTTTGGCCCACGCTCCCCTCGGGCCAGAGGGTTACTCTGATGCTGTGCCCCCCAATCCCGGCTCTGTGCCCCCCAATCCCGGCCTGGTTTGGCCCACGCTCCCCTCGGGCAAGAGGGTTACTCTGATGCTGTGCCCCCCAATCCCGGCTCTGTGCCCCCCAATCCCGGCTCTGTGCCCCCCAATCCCGGCCTGGTTTGGCCCACGCTCCCCTGGGGCCAGAGGGTCGCCCCGGCTCTGGCTCCCTGCGCAGAAAGGAGGGACCAGTCCAGTTCGGCTCATGTTCCCGGACCCGGTTCAGTTCAGCCCGGCCCGCGCTCCCCTCCGGCAGGGTCCCGTTCGGCCAGCACTCCCCGCATGGCCAGGCCCCCGCTCCCCCTCGGACAAAGCTCAGCCCACACTCCTCCCCTCCGGGCCCGGTTCGGTTCGGCCTGGCCCGCACTCTCCTCCCCCCTGGGCCCGGTTCGGCTCGGCCTGCGCTCCCCCTCGGACAAAGCTCAGCTCGCACTTCCCCCCGGCCTGGCGCGGTTCGGCCCGCAGTTCCTCCCCGGTTCGATTCGGCCCGACCCCCGCACTCCCCCCCGGTCCCGGTTCGGCCCGGTTCGGCCCGGTTCAGCCTGCACTCCGCCCCCCGGGCCCGGTTCGGCCCGGTTCAGCCTGCACTCCGCCCCCCGGGCCCGGTTCGGCCCGGTTCAGCCTGCACTCCGCCCCCCGGGCCCGGTTCGGCCCGGTTCAGCCTGCACTCCGCCCCCCGGGCCCGGTTCGGCCCGGTTCAGCCCGCACTCCGCCCCCCGGGCCCGGTTCGGTTCGGCCCAGCCCGCGCTCCCCCCCGGTCCCGGTTCGGTTCGGCCCAGCCCGCCGCTCCCCCCGGTCCCGGTTCGGCCCAGCCCGGCTCGGCCCGCGCTCCCCCCCCCGGGCTCGGTTCGGCCCGGCCCGGCCCGGCCCGCACCCCGCCCCCCGGGCCCGGTTCGGTTCGGCCCAGCCCGCGCTCCCCCCCGGTCCCGGTTCGGTTCGGCCCAGCCCGCGCTCCCCCCCGGTCCCGGTTCGGCCCAGCCCGGTTCAGCCTGCACTCCGCCCCCCGGGCCCGGTTCGGTTCGGCCCGGTTCAGCCTGCACTCCGCCCCCGGTCCCGGCCCGGCCCGGCCCGCGCTCACCCTCGATGGAGATGACGTGCTCCCGGATCTGGCTCTGCAGCCCCAGGTCCTCCACCCGCTCCAGCAGGTCGTAGACCGCGTAGATGTTGGGATGCACCGACTCGAAGCGCCCGATCTCGGCGCGGATGGCCGCCGAGTTGGAGAGGCCGAACTGGGGCGGGGGCGGCCCGGCCTGCGGCGGCCCCGAGGAGCCCGGCCCCGGCCCGCCCGGCGCCGCCAGGCTCTGCGGCTGCGGGCTCTGCCCGGGCCCCGCCTGGAAGTTCATGGCTGCGGCGGGCGCGGGGCTCAGCGGCGCGGGGCGGCGGGTGCCCAGGCCGGCGGCAGCCGCTGCATGGCCCGGCCCGGCGCGGCTCGGCTCGGCGCGGCGCGGTCCGGTCTCCGCTGCTGGCTCCGCCGCTCCCCAGCCCGGCCCGCCCCGCCAGCCGCCGCAGCAGGACCCGCGTCACGCACCGCCCCCGCCTCGCCCCGCGTCAGCGCCGGCTCCGGGGACCGGCCCCCGCAGGGGAGGGGAAGGGGCCTGCCTCCGGCAGCCTCGGCCCCCCGCCGGCCCCGCCCCGGAGCTCGGCCCGCGGGCCGGCCTCGCCCGCTGCCGGCGCTGCGGCTGGAGCGCCCCCCGCGCCGCCCCCGCAGGGCTGTGCCCGGCCGCCGACACCCGGGGCCGGGCGGCTTCTGACTGGGGCGTTGTTAGCAGTCTTCGCTCTGCCAGCGGCGCCGGGGCCGGGGGGGTCATCGATTCACCCCCCAAACATTTTGTTAATGCAGAGCTCAGGCTCCCCCCAACCTCTCATCCCTCCGCCTCTGGCAGCCACGACCTGCGGTGCCAGATGTTACCCCCCCTCCAGGCTTGTCCTTGGGGTTCCCTCGGGAACATCAGGGGCCCTGGCCCAGCCCTGCCCATCCTGGTGACCGGAGCAGCTCATGCTTCCCCACTTGCAGGGCTGACATGGCTCAGCACAGAAAGGGGGGTCCAAGAGCTCCGTGGGTGCACCGGCAGGTCTCCCGGTACTTGGCAGAGAGAACTGCACTGACCCGCTCTGTTGATTGATCCCCCAGCACAGTGCAGGGAAGTTGGAGCACAGGCAGAGGCTGGGATTCTGGGACACACCACACCGTATACAAAATGGCACATTTCCCCCCGGTCACTTCTTGTGTCTCTTTAGAGCCCAAACCTACCTACAATACAGCCCAGCATCACCCGTACCTTTGCTCTGTATTGATTTCCACAGAGCAAGTGAGGGGGCTGAGCATAGGCCTGGAGTAGCCAGCCAGGAATTAGTTGCCCTGCCCTAAATGTGACTGCCTTAATGAGGACACAGTCCAACCTCTATGTGATGCATCCCTGCAGTTCTCCATGTTGCTTGGAAAGACAGCATGCTATCCAGTGTCTGTCAGGGGCAGGCTGGGGCATCGCTCAAAAGCCAGCAGAGTTCAGTTTGCAAGGCAAGGTACTGAACCTCAGAGTCAGATGAGAGAGAGAGAGAGAGAAGCATACAGCAGGGTGTCATCGGCACACTCCAAACACCACACCCGATGCCTCAGGGTCTCTCTACACAGGGATGTTACAGCGGATTAGGTCGCTTGCTCTGAGTGCAGCACCTTGGCTCTATTAAACTGAAGTGCAGCCACACCACTTTGGTACGGCAGTTTAGTGGACTTCCCTTTTTAATCATTGCGTTCACACAGCTCTGCGCTTGTTCCAATTCAGTGCGTGGCATTCTGGCCAGATGTCTTAGGGTGCAACGCCACCACTCCACCCTGCGCTGAGATTTGTCTCACAGTGTGACATTGGAAGAGCCCAAGTCCAAAATTCCGATATTAAGGAATTCTGGGGCAAACCAACAAATGACCATCATTGCTCTCCTGGCATCCCATAATTCAGCCATATTTTGGCAACACCATTTTTGAACTGGTGTGAGGCGGTATGGAAGGCACGCTGCCGAGCACCATGATCATGGCACTCGTCAGTACAAACAGGACGATGCACAGGCATCTGGAGTCAGATGGATTTAGCTTGGCAGCTTCGGATGCTGTTGTGATATGCCTACCAGTGGAGGAGGAGCAAGAGATTAAAACTGAGCGATTGCTTTTGCAGGGCATGTATCTGGAGCAGCTTCACTTGAGGAAGCACCATTCCTGGACTCTCAGGTCACACTGTCTGGTGAGACAGCACTGCAGTGATGCAGGATGACCAACAGTAGCTGCAGACCTTCAGGGTGTGAAAGACTTCCCTAGAGACGTGTGCAGAGCTTGCCCTGCGGCTGCAGTGACAGACCACCAGCATGGGAGTTCCCCTCAGTGTGGAAAAGTCACCATCCGTCCGGAGAAATCTCCTCCCAGTGAGCCCCCAGGGGACATGTGGGGTCAAGGATGCTGCCATGGGGGTTTGGATGCTTTCTGGAAAACTGTCCACCAGCTGCTTCTTGGGTGCGGTGGTACCTCTCCAGACTCTTGAGGGGCTGTTGACAGGTCACCCAGGTTTCGCATCCATCGAGGAATGTAGGGATGAGAACCGCCTCATAGACCTGGATCCTGGAGTCCTGTGGCAGGTCACGGTCTGTGAAAACGCGGCGTCAAAGCAAAGGAAGCACTTGCACGCTGGTTCCTGTGCTCGATCGGCCTGTCAGTCTTTGCGTTTTGAGAGAGTTGGCTACGAAGGTAGCAGAAGTGCTCAACTGCCTCCAAAGTCTGTCCCTCGGTGGTGGTTCGTGGTGGGTCACGTGCAAGGCCTGAAGCAGGCTGATGAGCACTTTAGTCTTCTCGATATTAAGTGAGAGTCCTAGGCTACCAAAAGCTTGTGCACGAAAAGAAGGGCAGGCACGCAGGCAGGCCAGTCTGGGCTCGAAGCTCTGCAGTGTGGGATACTGGGGGGAGGATTGCCAGAAGAACAGGAGTTAGGAGTGTGTCCACATGAACCTTACAGCAAACAAACTCACTGCAAAGTGGGGCTATTCCCCGCTCAGGGGGGATCACTTACTGTGGCTTAAGATGCTCAACAATTCGCTTTAAAAAAAGGGGGTGTGTGTAGACACCTTACAGGGGCGCTGTAACAGCAACAAACTCACATTACTGAAATGCAAAGTCCTGGTGTCGACAAACCTCAGACTCGACGAATCAGCTGCGAAACCAAAGTTTCAACCGTAGCTACAATGGAGCTACCAGCCCAGTATAATACATTTGAGTAACTAATGCAATGAAATGCTTTGTGTCTCGTCCAGCAACAGATGCACATTCGGTATCACACACTAAAGAAACAGGTACCACGTTTTAAAGAAAGTCCACCCGTGACTCTGAAAATGTGATTGTAACAGAGTCCTTGGTGGGCTAGTGGTTAGCGCATTTAGGACCACCTCCCAGCGAGCAGGTCTTGCGATCCAGGCCTACTTTTAATCAGAGGTGCAGCGAGGTGGGCAGGCAAGTTGGGTCCCTCCAGTTGTAGGGGCAGTGGGAGGAGTGTTTGGGCTGACGCACCGCACTGGGCTGTGACCCAGGGCCCTAAGAGGGTCAACAGTGTCTGGCCACTGAAGGTGCCCTCCAAGTTATCCTCCATGGGTCACTTCCTACTGTTTGCTTTTCTCCCTTGGCTTCCGGTCCAATATAAGGTGAAAAGAAAAAGAAAAGGCACCAAACTGTTAGCTGCAGTGGGGCTCCGCACTGAATAGAGTCTTATTCCCTTGGGCAGGCTTCTCCGGTGCCCTTCTAAGGAGCTCTCCACGCACGTCTGTCCCCCTCCCCACCTCTGATCCGGGTTGCTCGCTTTTCTCTAGTTGGAGCATGCTCAGTAGGGCTGGCGGAGTCTACCTGGGTCCAGTACTGGCCTTTAACTCTTTCTAGCCTATTGTGGGATTTGTACACCCCATCACAGCAGCATGAATGTCAAGGGAACAAACCAGAGTAGTTACACTGCTACGCGGCCAGTCAAACCATCTCTGTAAGCGCATTTGTCTTTGAAACAGCTTTGGAGACGGGGGGCTGGAACCATGTGTATACCGGGGGTTCTGAGAGCCATTGAACCAAGCTGTAAACCCTGTATATGATGAAAACCACTTCAAGCCAGGGGATGCAGCAGCCCCCCCCCCCCCGCACCCTTATTCCAGCTTCTATGTTTGGAGATAAATGAGGTCCCAGTCCTGCAAGAAACGCCCATTGGCAGAGTCCTGTGCCCGCAGAGTCCCTCACTGATGATACTGAGACTCCAAGCCAGTGCAAAGGCAGCACAGATCCAGTTGCAGAATTGGGGCCTTACCGTTGGATTGGACAGACAAGTATGGCTATAAAATAGCCTGGAACAATGTCAATATCGAGAGAATATCCTGGAGCCCCACATTATGAAGCATATGATGGTTACTCCCCTGGAATTGGAGTATTTGAGATGGGCTCTGCACATTCACGTCCTTCGGAGGTGTTGATGGTGCAGCTTGGACCAGTAGAGGCTTTTAGTAGTAGTCCCACTCTGCCCCTGGCTGCTCAAACATTCAGCCGGCAGGTCCATAGAGGGGTGTGGTGTGCGAGACACCTCCATTCCTTCTCCCACTTCCTTCAGTGCAAAGTTAACATCCGGACTTGGAGGAAGAGGGGAATGTGGGCAAGAAGTCCCCGTCACAGAACTCTGGTTTCAGGTGAGTGACCTGCGTTTCCTCTGCATATTTCCACTGCTGGGAATCTGGGAAGTAGTACTCCCCTTGGGGACAGTGGGAAGAGGAGACCAAGTCAAAGAAGGAGTGCAGTACTGCTGTGCCAAACGGTGCATCTGATCTAGATTTCAGGTCTAAGGAGGAAGGTTTCAGGAGCTCCAAAGGGCGGCTTGTACCGATCTCTAACATGGGAATGTTCTGACATTACTGACATAACCTGTGACTGTACAGATCATTGTGCAACCACTGTTATATATTTGCAGCAAATATTGTACAAAGGTTGTCGTGTGAGGTGTCTATAAAGAGGTTGTGATTTGCTGGTTATGATTATACTGTCTGTATGTGTGTATCATTTTTATAGTTGAAGTTATGAATATTGGCTCTGTACTTGTATCTCAATGTGTTTTGATTCTAAGTAGCCTCAGTGAAGCATCTGGTCAGCTTCTTGAGAAGGGACTCTTCTCAGTAAGTGCCCAATCAAGAAACACTTAATGCACAATGGACTTTGGGAGACGCCAATCCACATCTGAGCTTTCCTGGGAACTTTCGAACTAACATGTAAACACTGGCGTCGGCCTGAAAAGAACTGAGTCCTGCATGGACATGTGATTTGCCCATGTGACTCCAAACTCCATCTTGCTGCTGTGATCTTC